CTAGCGAGGGGCGCGCGAGGGCGCTAGCAAGGGGCGCGCGAGGGCGCTAACGAGGGGCGCGCGAGGGCGCTAACGAGGGTGCGCGAGGGCGCTAACGAGGGGCGCGCGAGGGCGCTAACGAGGGGCGCGCGAGGGCGCTAACGAGGGCGCACGAGGGCGCTACGAGGCTAGGGCACGGGGTAGCGTGGTAACCGCATGCGAGCGGTGGTGGGCCCTTAAAAAAAAAAAAACGGTCGGTAGGTCCTAGGGACCTCCTGCTCTGAATACCATCTCAGAATAACTAGGCAAGAATGAATGAACTAGCAGAAGTTTGGGTACAAATATGAAACCCTAGTTGGGGTTGTACCCCATATTGGCTACCCCACTACAGCCTACAAGCATAATACAGTTTAACACTCCTAAGTCCAGAACCTTAAGCATGGTTCCTAATTTACTATGACATGGCATTAGAGCTGGAAATTTCCTTGGACCTAAGAATTATGGGCCCACCAATAGCGCAGCCCGTTAGCACGCCCCGTGCTGGCTGCCCCATCCCGCAATGCTCGCCCCGTCGCGCTCTGCCCGTGGCGAGCGTGCCAACGAGCCGTGGCGAGCGCGCCAGCGACGGTCGCCAACGGCGCTCGCCAGCGACAGCGCGGACGCCAGCACGAACGGCGGGCGCTAGCGCCAGCGCCAACGGCGGACACCAGCGCCAGCGCCGACGCCAACGCACAACGCCATTGGCGGACGCCAGCGCCAGCGCCGACGCCATCGCCCTCGCCATCGCCACCTCGCTCCCCGCCTCCGCACCTGCTGCTGCCGTGCTATTCTACGGTGGGCATTGCGGGGGGAAGGTGGCGGGGCTTGCGCCAGTGGCTACGGGGGTGCTTAAGCCCCCGTGAACCTGCACCTTCAGCGCCCACCGCCTCTCCCTCACTGCCGCATCTGCTACTGTGGGGGGGAGGGTGAGAAGGTGGCGGGAACGTGCTTACAGCACCTACCGCCTCCTCTCTCTCCCTTGCCGCCCTTGCTGCATTGGGGGGGAGAGGGAGGGGGTGTGAGGGTGGCGGGTATGATCAGTAAACCGCTGCATCTGCACTTTTCTCCTTACTCCAGCAGCCGCCTCTCCACTCCGCCTCCTCTCATCCGCATCATGTACACCACCGGCTTCCTCCTCCTATCCAACCGTTGGTGTGTAACACCGGCAGCCTACGCCCTCCAAATTAGCCCTCCGCCCTCCGTTCTGGCGTTCACAGGTGCTGCCGCTCAGGCACCTCGGTTTCTGTGCCTATCCCAGCTACATGTGCCGCTCTCCAGGCGACCTGGTGCCAGACACCACTAGCTATAGCCGTAGGCAGTTACGGGGGTGTGTTAATTTATATTGCATATCTTATACCTGCCTACAGCTTACTAGTGTATTAGGTTAGTTATTAGAACCAACTGCTGGTGGTGTACCCCTTTCCCCTTCCTCTCTGTCCTATTTGTACTCCCAACTTCATAATGAACCCCCCCTTTTTGGCCATCTCCATCCTTCTCGCCACTTTCCTAGCTCCTAAGTCCAGAACCTTAAGCATGGTTCCTAATTTACTATGACACGAACGCTCGATTTGATTTGGGGCGACGCTGCTGACAGTTTTTCTCGCGCGAGAATTTATGTCTGGCGTCAGCAGCGACTTTCAAAATTTCGCGCAAATTTCGAAGCTGACGTCAGCAGCGAAGTTCGAAATTTCGCGCGAATTACCTAACGCTGATGACGTCACCGAGACGAAGCTGACGTCAGCACTCCGAAATTTGAAATAACGTTCAAATAATACATCAACAAACATTCTAGAACTGTAAACATAGAAATAAAACCTACAACTACTCATGTAAACGTTCTTATTGATGTAGAAAAAATCAAGTCTACCACGTAAATACTGAGGAACAATTAAGAGCTTCAACTCAACATTCACATAAGAACATACCGGTAAAGAATGCACAGATATTCCTAATTTAAATATGACGATGTGATCAACTTCATTCAAAAAACTTTTAGAAAGTTACACTTGTTGCTTCGCAACCCTAAGACGATTTCGTCGCCTCTTGTTTTTTTTTTTTGGGTTGCGAAGCAACCCTTTACGATCGATTTTGACAAATTTTATTTTCATGTTAAAAAACATGAAAAAAAAATTCGTATGCTACAGTTCCAACCTTCCCATTGTGCATATATTAAACTCTTTTTTTTCTTTACTGTAGTATTTTTGTGCATAGATGCTATACTGTTTGCATTATATTATTTTCCTGTTTGATGGGACAATTGCAATAAATGTTAAGAATATTAATAATGAAATACACACCACGCATGCTTAAATGAATGCAATGAGACAAGATATATAAATGCATAATACTGATACATGGATGGAAATGCTTTTGTATGCATGCTAAATGCTAAATGCAACATACCAGCATATCAACATTATACAAATGCGTAATAGTTAACGACACAAAAACTAGGCTACCGCATCCCCTGCCTAGCATGGGGGGGAAGTCAATAGCAAAGTTTTTGAATAATCAACTAGCACATGAAACAATACAATCTGTTAACTCTAAAAAACAAGTTCACTCTATCAAATCCAGTTCGAAGTGGCAAACACACGAGTCACTGAGTGCGCCAATGAACCAATGAGAAATGATAGAAATGAACCCATTTTTTAAAATTGACAGACATGCATTGATATTGCAATGATAAATGAAAAAAATGCACTCACACACACAAGGAAACACATTCACACATTTACAGAAGCACGAACACCGGCAAAACCAGCAAAAAACATGCGATAATAAATAACATGCAAATCAACGTTAAAATGACATTTTGGTAAATCCTATTAGTGACAAATGCGCATTTTCCAGATAGAAATCGCATTTCTGACCAGCAGGCTCCTGCGAAACGGGTCCAGGAAACGATACAGTAAACGAAAAAAGAGAATATAACGAAATACGGAGAACAAGAGCGAGAGAGAGAAAGAGGACGAGAGAGAGGACGAACTCGAGAGAACGAACTCGAGAGAACGAACGAGAGAGAGGACGAACGCGAGAGAACGAACGAAAGAGAACGAACGAGAGAGAATGAACCTAAGAGAGAGAACGAGAGAGGGAGAGAACTAGAGAGAGAGAACGAGAGAGAGTGAGAGTACGAACGAGAGAGAAAACGAGCGAGAGAGAGAACAAGAGAAAGAGAAAGAGAGAAAGGGAACGAGAGAGAGGGAACGAGAGAGGGAGAACGAGAGTGAGAGAACGAGCGAGAGAGAACGAAAGAGAGAGAGGGAGAACGAGAGAATGAGAACGAGAAACAGAGAACGAGAACGAGAACGAGAGAATGAGAACGAGAAACAGAGAACGTGCGAGAGAAAGAGAGAACGAGAGAGAGGGAACGAGAGAGAGAACGATAGAGAACGAAAGAGAGAGAACGAGAGAGAGAGAACGAGAGAGAGAGAGAGAGAGAGAGAGAGCAAATTCATAACTACGGTTTCAAAAGAGCCTATGTAGTATTCAAAATATGACGGTTAGAAGGATGTGACGGTTCTAAACCGAATAAAAGCAAAAGGTGAAAGAAAAATGGATTCAAAACAAGGGAGAGAGGATGAGAGAGAGGGAGGACGAATGAGAGGAAACGAACGAAATATGATGAAATAAAACATACAATTATGATTTACTACCATTCGAAAGCAACAATGAACCGTAGCTGCAGCTAATTAAGATCATACAAGAGACATATGTCTCCTGGATTGTCTAATGTAATTGGATTGACTCACATCTTATTATGTTTAAAGGAAACTAGAGACTCAAGCATGGAGGAGTAATAAGGAACGATTGAAAGAGAAAGAGAACGAGGCAAAACCAGAACTTAAGCTTAATCAACTGACATCCTTTAAACAAAACCAGCAGAAGAGAAAACGACTATGATACGAGATTAAGCTAGCTAGTAATACTATAGATAGCACTGCTATGATACGATTAAGATAGCTACGACTATGATACGCGGCCACACACTAGGTACTAATCATCTAAGGGTTAGGGTTGTTCTTACCTTAGTAGAAACTGGTAGGTGGAGCCTAACTAGGAGCTCAACCAGCGGGAGGGAGGAAGAAAAAGAGCAAAATGTTACCTAGAAAACTTTTGAAGATGGTTAACAGTGGCGTTGGTGCAGTTGGTAAGAAAAAAATTGTGAGTCTAATGGTCAAGTTCGAATCCTGCAGGGATACTTTTAGAATCTTTGGCACTAAGTACCAACTTAATGTCATACTACAGCATTGTGTATAGTCTACAGCTTTATAAAATTTGTGTATTTACCAATACGTAAGACTACAACGCTTCGCAACCCTAGGACGACATTGTCGCCTCTTGTTTTAAATGTAATATGAATACAGTAAAAGGGGTGAGACGGAGAAACAGTTTGATTTAGTACTTCTTATGAAGGTTTGACATGAAGTTATTTCTCTTACATTGCCAATGCTGTGCCTCTCTCAGGAGTCAGGATCACTATGGAAGCAGGTTTTAAGCAAATCCGGTAAAGACTCTCGTTTCAACTTCTCAAACCCACAATACATACAGTATAGACAGCTCTACAAGCGATCGCGAAGCAATACAACCAGCGGACACGCGCAACAAGTGGAGGGGAGAAGTCATCCAAAACGTTATCCAAATCACCAAGCATGTGCAGATGGCAGCACAGCCCTCCACGCAGCCGTCCTAGTCATCACAGATTGAGCGCACCAGATTGAGCGCACCAGATCAAGTGGATATTCACCCACAGTTGCATCGTGTTTTGATTCGGCTCAAGCAGACCATCCGTGCAGGAGCTGTCCTAGTCATCCTACTGAGCGCACCACATTGAGTAGAGATCCAGGGCAGTTGATAAGTCCCTGGTTAATGGTAACAATGGGAGGACAAAAATAAAAAGATGATTAAGAGAATGTTAAACTGGTTATTGGTTCAAAAAGGAAGTGGAGAAGTTGTACAGGTAACGATCCATCACTTACAGTGAATAAGTTGCAACAAACAGCTCGGGGGTTGCAAGGGTATATTCATAATCAGTAGCGCCTCCACAGTGGTCGTTTGAGTAGTCCCTCCAGCTGGAGCAACCAGGAGCATCATTTGTATTCTGAACAAAATACACTGTCACGCCCTCCCTGGCCACGGCTTCCGGGTACTGGGTGCAACTATTCAGGTTGGGGCGGAAGGTGATGGGTCGAGAAGAGTTGTCCCTAGCTGTTCGATTTGCGATGACTGTGAAGCTGTAAAATGAAACGTTGGACGCTCCACCTGAGAAAGAGAGAGGCATGAAGAGGAGAGGGAGAGGAGTGTGTGGTTGGTAGAAGAGAAAGAAAGAAGAGACTTTGGAAGCTCCACCTGAGAAAGAGTGGCGCATGCAAGAATGCAGCACGTTGTTTGACTGATGCACCTTTCATGCCTTCCCACTTGCATACATATACCATCAACATTCAAACATGCTTTCACAATACCATCAAATGAAAGCAGCATCATCCATTCACCCAGCATGCCAGAAGGGAGAAAAGGGAAACAAAGAGAGGGGCGTGTGGGGGAGAGGAGGGAGTGGGATGAGGGGAGAGGAGGGAGTGGGACGAGGGGGTGGGACAAGAAGGGAGTGGGGCGGAGAATGGGAAGAATGCGAAGAGGAGAGGGCGGAGAGGAGAGTAGAGTGACCATTCGTTAAGCAATCTCACCTGCAACACACTCGGTCGCGGTTATCCCATAGCCGTCAGGGCAAGCGCAGTAAGGCACCTGCACCGAAGAATCGTCAGTCGCAGGCACGGTCTTGCAGGTGGCTCCAGTGGGGCAGGCGCCACAGGGCGAGTCTGAGGGGCGGGGATTGGTGCAGTGCGGTATGCAGCAAAATTTCGGGGAAGCAGAGGGGTAGGCGGCACAGGGAGAGGGTGAGGAAGGCAAAATGCGAAGGGAGGTAGGTGTGGAAAATGCTAGTGGAGGAGTGGGGCTCGAAATAAACGAGCTGAACCGAGCTGGTTGGAAACCCAGAAATGAGAATTTAGGGTTTAGGGTCTGCCGGAATGCTGGTGGAGCAGCGGGGTTCCAGAGAGGCGAGAGGGAAAGGAGGTAGGCTGGCAGGAAGGCAACCATCATGCACTCTCACTCTCGTGGCGTGGGAAAGTTGGCACCAAGTTGACGCCTTGAAATAGGTGACACTAAGTTGAGGGTCAAATAGGTGACACTAGGTTGAGGCCTCAAAATATGTGGGTTGGTTGGATGGCACGGAGTTGATTTGATAGACGAATGGGTGAGCTAAGGTTGAGAGTGGAAAGGTGGGAAAGCCATGCTCACTCACCCCACTCGCAGTAGCGCTCTCCACTCTCATCCACCACACAGGTGCCGTCAGGCTCACAGCCCAACGCGTCACAGGCAGGATCAACGGAGCAAAAGACAGATGCCACGGAAGCCCACTTGCTGAGAGTCTTCTTGGTGCTGGGGAACCTGCAATGGAAGCACAGAAAATGGCCTTTGAGACGCCTAAAGAACAACGTGTCACAGGGAGCATCGGGGTAAACAACTGAGACCACGGAAGCCCATTTTGCTGAGTGTCGTCTTGGTGCTGAGGAATCTGCACTGCAGGGCGTGGCCAGTGGAATGGAAGCCTCAAAATTAGCGCGTCACAGGCAGCATCGGAGCAGAGAACAGAAAAGAGTTTTGAGGCGCCTCAAAACACGTCACATGCAGCATCGGAGCAGAGAACAGAAAAGAGTTTTGAGGCGCCTCAAAACACGTCACAGGCAGCATCGTTGAGAGCCTTCTTTGTGCCACGGAAAACGGAGGCCTCGGAAGCCCATTGGCTGAGCGCCTTATTTGTGCTGGGGAACCAGCTGGGACACACACACGGCTACACAGCCCAAACACACACACACACACACACACACACACACACACACACACACACACACACACACACACACACACCCATCACCACTCATTTCTTAGGCGCATCAAAAGCTGACACGCGCCCACCGCCACTCACTTGGCCGCAGCAGTAGAGCTCGAGTTGACCATGCTGTCAATCACATTGCCCTGGCACCCGCCCTGGTCAAAGAACTTGATCTGTGAACAGGAGACGCCTTTCGCCTTGCTGCTAGACCCCTTCCACCACACCTTCACGCTCCTTCCCCGCGCCTTCTCAGACACGTTCAGGCAGCGCTGCGTGCCGAAGCTCAGCCGAGCCTTGCCCACAGCCACGGTAGTGGCGGACCGCAGCGAACTGCTGGTGTTAACACTGCTCCCAGTGCTGCTGTTGACAGTGGTGCTGCTGGCACTGGTCTGTAGCACAACCCTCCTCGCAGTGACCTTGCTGCTGGCTGCTGCTGCCGCTGTGGCATCTGCAATCTTCTCTCCTCCTGCTCCATACGAGTCTTTCAGCATGCTGCGGTGGGCCGTGCGGTGGGCCGCGCGTTTCACTGTGTCGTTGCCATGCGCTGCCTTCATCTGCACAGCTGCTGTTAGGAGGGACGTGCAGAGAAGAGGGTGATGAGGTGTGATTTTAAGCACAGAAGAGGTGTGATTTTGAGTCACCCAAATGCACCATGCACTGCCTTCATCATCTGAGCTGCTGCAGAGGACAAGGGAGAGGGTGCAGAAGATGAGAAAGAGAGAGAGTAGATTTGATAGGGCAAAGAGGAGATATGAGAGGGCAGAGGGGAGATGTGTGAGGGCAGAGGGGAGGAAACAGAAGGGGGCAGGAAGGAGGAAACAAGGAGAAAGGCGGCATGTCAAATACACTGCAGAAATTAGGGTTTTCCAAAGAGAGTGAGAAATGAGAAAGGAGGCGATGAGATGGAGAGGTTGAACAGAGGGCAGAGAGGAGATATGAGAGAGGCATGTCACAGACATTGTCGAAATGAGGGAGAAGCGGACTGACCGCAGATGAGGGCAAGGGCGAGCAGCAGGAGTCCGGCGGGAGAGGCGCGCATCGTCGTCATCATGATGGGGGTTCCGCAGGAGAGGCGGCGGAAGAGGAGACAAAAACGTTGAACTTCCGTATCACAGGCTCTCGGAGCTCGGAGATGAAGGAGAGCCACAGGCTGTCCGGTGAATAAAAGGATGACCGGTGGAAGGATGACCGAGTATTATCGTACTACGAGCACAGAACCGGAAGGAGATCGTGGAAGAAGGACCGCGAATGGCAGGAGTGGAAGAAGGGGACTCTTGCTTTGGGAGTCGACTGAGCTGCACTGGTGATTTATGATGCGAGCTACGAGCGTGAGTGGAGCATGGCAGCCGCAGCGCCATTGTAGTGAATTATGGGAACGCGAATTATAGGAGCGCGATTTATAGGAACGCGAATTAAAGGAACGCGAATTATAGGAACGCGAATTATAGCAACGCGAATTATAGGAGCGGGGGATATGGTGAGATGCGGCGACGATAGTAACTCTGGAGACTAAGATTTCTTGGAACGCGATGCGTGTGACGGCTTGCTAGGCGGAGGGCCGTCCATTCGTCAGGTACGCGGTGCTTAGATAATAGGAACGGGGGGTATGGCGAGTTGCGACGACGACAACGATATCTCTGGGGTAACTTAGCGCCAGGAACGCGATGCGTGCGATGGCTTGCTTGGCGGGGGGGCGTCATGAAATGCTTGACATGAGCGAATTGACGCGGAGGACGCGTTACGCTGAACGACCAAATGTGTTACCGCTTGTTTTGAACGACTGAAATGCGACTTCGTCGCAGAGGGAAGCGTGGGTATCTGCCCGTCTAATCTGCCGGACGGCTGGCTGTTTGAGGGACGCGCTCCAATGGAACTTGTGAATCTAGCCTGCGGTCAGGCGTCCGTTGCGATCAATCCGGTGTACTGCGAGGCCATGATTTCCGAAATCATTGTGAAAAAAACAAGAGGCGACGAAATCGTCTTAGGGTTGCGGAGCATCTTTACTTAAGTACATTTGGGTGGTATCGTTATATAAAACTTAGAATCAGTAACACTTATTGCTGCTCATTCAAATGCATATTTGTAAATCGTCCCGTGCAAGAACCGAAACGGACACTTTCCGATCTCACTCTCGTTCTCAAACCACTACGCAACATGCTACTGCTTGCGAGGTTGTTTAAAATTATTGTTGTGTTTTGACGCGATGAAATCACTCACCTCTCTAGGGTTTGTTTTCCCTTTCTCTCCCTCGTCTAACTCATCCAGATCTGTTCCCGCAAGCTACTCCCACTCCCGCTCCACCTAACTCTTCAAGGTCAGAACTAATATCTCAACTATTACCGGTAGTTAATGGTCCAACTATATTTCCCTTAGTGTCGTATCCTACTCTTTGCGTATTGTGTTCGCCGTTTTAAAGTTGTGCAAGTTGTTTAAGATAGGTTCTCAATTTTCAGTTTATGTCGTAATAGTCTCTAGGTAGTCGATAGGCCTGCATTCATTCCCGTTGTTTCATTCACGCCGCTTTTAAGCTCGCGACCTTGCATTTTCTCGTTTTCATTCGAATATTAAGTCAGTTTTCAATGGCTGCAGCCCTTTTTGCTACGTCGTTTTGAAGGGTTGCAGCCCTATTTGACGTAGATCCTAGTAACGACCAAATATACAATCCATCGATCTTGAAACTGATCTACTCCATGTGTGAATTTGAGGTCAATATTATATACTAGTCATTTGTACCCTTTTGCTTGTTTCTATGGTCGTAATGTCGTATTCTACTTTTTTACTAACGTGTTCGCCGTTTTTAAGCTATGCATGTTGTTAAAGATAGGTTCTAGGCTTTCAGTTAACGTCGTAATAGTCTCTAGGTCGTTGATAAGCCTGATTCCATTCTTGTTTATTCACTTTGCCGTTTTCAAGCTTATTTCGACCTTGCAGTGTGTCGTTTTCATTCAAATAGTGAGTCGGATTTCAAGGCTGCAACCCTTTCTGCTATGTCGTTTTGAAGGGTTGCAGCCCAATGCGATGTAGATGCTAGCAACTATAAATGATACAATCCATTGATCTACTACCTAGGTCATGTTGAAGCCGAAGATGATTGAATTTGATCTACTGCATCCGTTAATATCCTGTTTTTTTGTTTCTGTGATCCTCCACCTAACTGCAGGAAATGCTCAAGCACGTTGTTGTCTCAATTCCTTGTCTTTTTAACGGTGAGAACATGTTGGAAGAAAGAGAGCGAAAGAGAGGGAGAGTACGTAAGAGCAGCGGCAGAGGATATGGCACGGGTATAGGGAGAGAGCGTGCAAGAGAACGAAAAACGAAGTTGCTGTTTTGTTTAAATCTAGGTCAAATTAGAACTTAGTAATTAAGGTCTTTTTCTTCGTATCCTTTCGAATATAGATCTCTTAACTCAATCCTCAATTCCTTCCATTTTTTATAGACTTGATTTTATGTTCTTCATTCTTTCCCCTTTTGTAAGCCCTTTTTTGTACATGCACTTTCATTTCTTTTTTATTCTTCAACATCACCTTTTTCGTTCTCTCTCTCGCTCCTCCCTCCGCCGTTTTCTCTTGCATTCCTTCTTCCTTTCTATTATATTCTCTCCTTGTTTCAGTCCTTGTCATTCTTCACCTCATGTTTATCGCATGCTTTCTTCTCTCCCTTGTTTCTTCTATTCTTCTTCGTGCTCGTTTTTTTTCTCGTTATCATAGAATACTTTTTATTCTCCGTTTTTTTCCTGTTTGGTTTGCCATTTCTTTCACTTGGTCAATCCGTGTATGTTGTTTCTGTTTGGTTATGATGTCATTCAATTTCTCTGCTTTCTCCCTTCTTCTGCCCCTTCCTTTCCCCGCCT